CACACAGGCTGGCGGGCGCTGGCGGGCGCAAGAAAATCTTCCGTCTGAGCGACGTGCTGAAGCCCCTGACGGACGCGCAGATGGAGGCCATGAAGCTGGGGGCCGTGAAGCGGATCCTGCGGGCCGAGAGGGCCGTGGCTTGCAGTGGGGCTGCCCAGGTGGGCCTTGTGGGGCGGGGAGGGCGTGCCTGCCCTCTGCTGCCGCCACTCCTGTGGTTGGTGCACCTGTGCCACGTCGTGGTGCCCTCGCCCACCAGGTTCGGGTGGCCTGTGTCCGCCTTGCCCCTGGGCTGGCTTTGTAGCCTCTGTCCCATGAAAGCTGGTTGATACCCAGAGGAGCCCGGTGGCGAAGCGCTGGCTGTCACCAGAGCGGGAGACAGGCCTGGAGTCTGAGCCGACTCGCGGGCAGTGGGTCTGGTTGTCGGAGGTTAAGGAGCGGGAAGTCAGTGGACTCAAGAGTAGCAGGGCCGCGGCTCTGGGGTCCTGGTGGCGCAGCGGTTAAGTGCTCAGCTGCTAACCCAGGGGCCACTGGTTCTGGACCCCCCAGTCACTCTTCAAGAAGGAGGCCAACCTTGGAAGCCCTGCGGGTGCTTGTGCTCCATCATCCTGAACACGTGGCTCAAAACCGTGACCAAGCAGATGGGCGGGCTTCCCGGGCCAGCCCCTCCTCCCCGCAGCACGTCCGTCAAGCCCTTTGTGCCTTTGGTGCATCACGGCGTCTCCTCGCCTTCTTCTGTGTCGATGGCTTCTCTTCTCTTCGAGGGGACAGAACCCTGGGCAGTGTGGTGTCCCCAAGGCTGCCCACACTCACCTCGCCACCCCCACCCCGCCCCCAGGTGCGCATCAAGATCCTGGCCAGCCTGGTGACGCAGTTCGACTCGGGCCTGAAGTCCGAGGTCCTGTACTTCATCCTGGAGGACGTGCGGGCCCGCCTGGACCTGGCCTTCGCCTGGCTCTACCAGGAGTACAACGCCTACCTGGCCGCCGGTGCCACGGGCAGCCTGGACAAGTACGAGGACTGCCTCATGCGCCTGCTCTCCGGCCTGCAGGCGAAACCGGACCAGAAGGACGGGTGAGCAGGCCCCACCTCCCCGCCCCACCCGCCCAGCTCTCCCCGCTCCCTCTCGGGCCGCATGGTGTGGCTGCTTAGTGTGATCCGGTGTTCCACTCGACAACACTCGACAACTCGCACACCGTTTCCTGACACTGGCCGCTGTCTCCATCCGCTGACGGCCTCATTAACCACTCCCGCTCCTCGCCTGCCCTTCCTGCCTCCGAGCTGTGTCCTGGGCCCCTGCTGCCCTCTGGAGCCTGTGTGCTCGGCGGGCATGTCATGCCTCCCTGATGCCATCATCCCCCATTGGCCTGTCCTTTGTGGGCAAATCACGTCC